TAATTCATTTCTAATGAAGGAATTCAGATTAGAAAAAAGACAACTTTTACCCCTAGCTGTGTCTCTCCATACTTGCAGCACTGAAGAGAATTTATCGATAGTCAAAACCAACGAGACTACCTCATGTACATTCATCAGGTGAAGCAGTTTATCCCACTAAACACTTTGCTATCCACAAGCATAACCAGCTGCATGTATTAACATTTCACGAAATTCCCAGCAGCCATCTCTCTGTGAAAATGTTTTCTCTCATTGACCATGCCACAGCAACAGGAATTTCATTTTGCTTTTCTGAACAATGCATTCTGCTTTCTAGGGAATTTTCCGCAACAATATAGAGAAAAACACAGATTAGTTTGTGCAAAGCTTCTAGAGTCTGAGTGCCAATAACAAAAGCATCTTAGATTTGCCTGTAACTACCAGTTTGTACTAATTAAGGAAGAGAATCGTAAGGGGAAAAAAAAGTAGCTGTGAATGCACATCTGGAGAAAGAGGCCGCTGTTTCGGAGCAACTGGAGAGAGGTAGAACATTCTGTCAGGTCAAAACAACAGCTGGTCTGAAGACAGGCACATCTAGAAACAATTTTGCTGCTTCTTTCTGAGGAAAAGATTGTTTTAGACTCAAATAAAGTAGCTTGCATTTTCACCTTTACCTGTAGGTATTCACATTTATCCCATAACTGCAAATATTCATATATTCATATACTTAACTGCATACATATGTTCATATATATGCAGTTAAATTTTCTACAGGCCCAAACCACTTAAGAGATGACCAGCCTTTAACCAATCAAAACTGCACTTTGAAAACAGGTCTTACTCCTTCTGTATTACTAGCAATTAAAATTAATTACTACATATTTTTGCACATTTTAATTAAAACTTGCCTCAGAAAAATCCTCTAAAGTTGCTAGTCACTCACTATACACTGCCCTAAAATAGCTCAAAACAAATGCCATCATTTATATTTTCTTGCGGATACAGATCTTTTACTTTCCATCACAGGCAAAAAGATTTTCCTAAGAGCTTGTTTCTGTACAAAACATCCTTTTCAGGTATTAATTATGGGGAAGAAGTTCCAGTACTATTAAAGGTCCATTACATGAAACTGTTACACTTTAAATAGCCTTTTAAAAGTATATTTTAAGTAAGACTAAAAATCATAGGTTAAAAATATTATTTAAAGGGTGTTTTCCTAACAGCTTTGTAGAAATCGTGATACCTGTTCAGGTTTGGATGCTGAAAGAATCCAGCTCAACACCAAGGGAAGTCTGTTGTGATTCTGATTTCACCTTCCGGAGGGACTACTGAAGCTCTTTATGCAAATGTAGCGTGACTGAAAACAGACCCAAGTTTCAAGCCCTCAGATTCCCGATTTTTTTTTCAGGTGTCTGTAATGGAAGTTATTCTTGGACCTTCTTTACAAAAATCAAGGGTGCTGCAAGAAACTGCTGCTGCAATTCAGCAGATTGTACTCTTACCTGTGTCTCCAGGACGCTGCTTCCAACAACAGCTTCACAGTTTAGAAGGCATGATTAACGAGAAATGGCCAGATAAAAGACAGAAATGCAAACAAGGAGATTCTAGGAGTATTCCTACTATATTATTTCTTCTATATAGCAGAGATTAAAAGATAAATGCATAATTCCTGTAGCATATAAAGATGCTGTATGCTCCCAAGGCCAGGTGGGAGGCAGCGTTTTGACTCTTGCGCTAACAGTGGGAATACCTATTTCAGAACCGAAGGCAGAGTCCTCTGGTGGTTAAATGAAACAGGCAGTAGGATCTAATTATTCCCTACCCCAAGTCCACTCCTGCCTACTCGCAGAGAACAGAAATTCTCCACCTGTTTTCCTGCTTACACCTACACGCAAATTTGATACTGTGCAAGTAAAAAGTGACAAGGTGATTCATAATATTACATGCGGCAGGAAGGAAAGGAAGGGAAACAATAGTAAAATAGACCAGCTGTTCATCTGAGAAACGGCTTAGCAACTGCCGGTTAGGAACAAGCAGACTCAAGGAGGTAAGGTGTGTAGCAAAAGAAACAGAATTGAGGATGTAAACACTTGATCACAAGGTTGGTTGAGTAAAGGAACCACCACTATAATTGCTGAGAAATATGTCTGCATGTCTAAAGGCTGTATTACATTTATGACTAATTATGACAAATTAGATGAGTAAAATCAGCTGCTGAGGATTCCAACTCTGTTCCATAAGTACAGTATTGATCAATAGAAAAGAAAATGTTTTGCTTCAGACAGCTAGAGAAGTATTGTGTTCCCCTCAGGTATCAGGATGACTGCAGTTCTCAGACTAGAGCGATGCAGGAGATGCAGGTGATGATGCAAAGAATACTGATGGACTGATACCTCTCCTGTTTTTCTAATCCAAAACACCATCCCTTACTACTTTTCCCACTAATTCTTTGAATAAATAAGGAGTTTAGTTGTACCAACTGGAACCAAAGATGGAGAAAACAAATACTTGATATTAAAGTAAATATAACCTGATAGCTCCCTCTAAGTAAAATGAAAGGAAACAAAGCAGAAGGCTCAATCCTCTTAAGCAAAGATCCATACCAGCGAGGTTTTTGACTGTTATTACTAGTAACAACTGTTACCAGTAAGAAACCATCCACGAGTCTGAGTTCATATTATATTTACCAGTATCTACATATACCTACATGAGGGTTTCTACTCACAGAAATTATATACTGTCTCTTTACAACATACTATAAATTGATCTCGGAACTTCAATTCTCAGTGAAATTTATTATGTGCTTTGAAAGACTCTCATCTGCTGAAGCACTCAGCTACTGCAAAGCTATTAACAGATTTATCATGTCTTCTTAAGCAGGAATATTATCTTCAGGACTATAGGATTAGAGCTACTTTATCTTTAAGGTGAAGACCATTACTAGAATAAACTTTTTTTCCCCTTAAAAAAAAGGATATACAGTTCTCAGCCTACAAATTTACAGAGTTACATACTATAGTTATTTTAAAAACTAATTTCTGTTTACTTGTCAATATAATTTCACAATTGCAAAACACGGATTTACATGTTCAGCTACTGATAATTACGCTTAGAGAAAATAATAGTTACCAACACTGATTTCTTTCTTGTGGTTTTGAACTATTCCTTTCATTAATATGTTGGGTTTTTTTCCTGTAGATTAGCTCCCCCTCCTTTAGTAAGTCTAGATGCTTAATATAAGCAGGAGCACACAAAGAACAGGTTGTAGTAATTCAATCTTCTAATAGCATTTACCTGAAATACAGTAAAAAGTTCACTATGTCAGGAGACATTAAACCATGAGAATTTTTCATTCAAAACCCACATTGCTTTTTTTTTCCTTTTCTTTTTCTCCATTTTCCACTGTTAGACAATGCAACGGGTTCTTTTCTTTAGTCATCTTAACTTTTTACCTGTATTGCAGTTGACAGAGTGCTGCAGCCTTTGGGTTATCATAACCACAGGAGATGTTCTTGTTTTCTAAAACTGCTTCCAGGAATAAAGAACTCTTTCCTGGAATAAAAACAGCTTGTAAGCATTTCTACTCATCTCAAGTTTGAACAGTTTTTCTGTATTTTTCACTTATGATTTTCAGCATTAATTTGTCATCTTCTACAGAAACACGCCTTTACTCAGCTCCCACACCAGTACCAGTTACCTCCTTCCACCTGAGCAGTAAATAATTAATTGGAGGCCTTCGGTTGCCTGGAGAAAGATGGAAACTAACCCAGCTAACTAACCCAGCTTCCTAGCCCGCTCTCAGCAGGCCGGCTTGAGGAAAGGGCGAGTCACAAACAAACAGAGAGCAGGGGCACTCTACGAGCTCAATTCATTTTAAAACGCCCCAAATACTGAGGAACAAGGCGTCAGAAGTCCAGCAGACCAACTTACAACAACAACTTCTAACACGCAGCCAGTACCTGCTGCCCAGGAACGGGTAAGTTTGGACAAGGGCGTCCGTCGGCCTCTCCCGAGGCCAGACGTGAATCAATGGATTTTACAGGAAAGACGGGAGGGAAAACTGCCGCTAATTAGAAGGCTGCTGTAAAATCACGCTTTAGCGACCGAAACCTGTGATACCTGACGGAGAGAGCACCGCCCCTTGGAGAGCCTCCCCCTTCAGGAGGAAGGTGAGGAGGGACCTCGCCTCGGCCTTCACCGCGCAGCGCCTCCCCTCTCCGCGCCACCACCCACACGCTCCTGAAGTGGCGGGCAGAGAAGAGCTCCTCCCCCTGCACGTACCGGCGGTGACGTCACGCGCGGCAATTCTAGACCGTTCCAGGGCCGTGACGTAGGGCGGCGTCATTCCAGAAGATTCGGCCGGTGCCCATATAAAACCCGCGGAAGAGGCGGGGCAACGGTGATCGGCGAGCGGGCGGCAGGAGCGGGGCGGCTGCGGCGGTGAGCGCGGCCCAGTGGGCCTCTGCGGGGTGGCGGGC